AATAATACCAACGGAAAGAAATTCCGTTGCCTCCTTTGACATTTCACACATCAGAAGTTTTCTTACGTCAAAATTACAAACTACCTCAGGAAAACGGGAAGTTGTTTGTTAAATATCAGTATCCTGTTGTGGAAATTTCTTACAGAAATATGACACACGACATTGTTTACGATAAACATGTTTCGACCCGAAAACTTTCAGAGACCTAGGAGTGTATGGCAGCGTCATATGAAAATTGGTATAGAAGATTAACGTAATTTGTAACTGTGAAGTGGAATGAACTGGCTCAGAACAGAGGCCAGTGGTCGACTTATGGTGATTATCTTGGGTTCTATAGAGAATTTTCGTTTACCAAGAATTGCACCTGTTGCTTACATGCATCAGATGCACTGGGCCAAATGTAATCCTTTCTGGTGATTTGTTTCTCGTCTTTACTTAATATCTTTTATTCTGAACGCCAGTGAATCTAACAATGGAAAGAGCACCTTAGCTCACTGACATTTATGAAGTCATTGTACGAATGGTTGCTGACTTGGCTACACCCCTTACTGAACACTGAAATAAAAAAAAAATATTCTTTCGATTCCACGTGTTTCTGATAAATAGTGGGTATAATTATTCTTGAAATAACACGAATTTACGTTACCCAGATTTTTTTCTGTATTAATTTACCTTCTCAGATTAAAATTCTATGATTCTGTCATCATTCTCGTCACATATGCAAGCTGTTTCTGAAAGACCAACAAAGAGTTAGAGTAATAAAAATGGAATACGTAATAGGATTTATCACGTATACAATACGTTAAGAATGGCAACGTCAACCACACATGAAGAGGTTATAAGGTACTATTATATTACCACTGCGACTTGGAACCGCCTCTTGCCACGCCTTCACGCAATACCATTGGCTACATTCTCCTAAGTCCGCCCACCTTGAAAACTTTAAATATTGTCTGGTCACAGCGCAGGGTCACAAGAAAGAGGCCACAGGTACTTCGCCCCCCCCCTCCCGAAATTTCTGCCAACAGCTGTCTCTTCTACTCCATCCTGCTTCGTCAAGAAGTGTTTTTGTTGAATGGCTATGAGTGTGTTGGCAACAGCAGTTCAGCTGGTCGATGACATTTTATTTTCATTGCCACATGTCACGGACAAAGCTCTATGCAGTGTGTCCAGCGACCTCGTATTGGTTATTTAGTAGACTGCAACGCCGATCCTGACCTGCAATACTGCAGTTGCATTGAGCCCATACAAACACGCTCAGAATCCTGTCACAGGTGATAAATATCATGAATCATGAAGTACACTCGCAACGTTGCAACATTTCTTGCCACTAGATTTGACAGGTTTTCCAAGTCCCTTTCCAAAAAGGCCACAACTGTTTACTTCTAGCCCTTCCCATTGGATCAATCTTCCTGCCAGTCTATGTCATAGGCCTATAAAACATGTAGTTCTTAAAGCGTCATTTAGACAGTTCTGTAAATAAGAATGGAGTTGGGCAGGAGACATTATTAACTCGCAAGAACAGCGCAGAAGTAATTTTTGGGGAAAAAATGTTCTGCTTCGTGGAACGACAATTAAGATTAATCTGAGAGTTTGGAACCTCGTACGTTACATTCTATCTAATGTCCTAAAGATTACAGAGAATATCGAACACCTGCAGATATGTCCGTCTCTTCATTCCAGATATGCAGACAGAACGTTTCCCTGAAACGATAGCATTCTACCTACAAGTCCGCATGGAATCAAAACCAAAAATAACTTCCCCAGGATACAATATTAGGCCTAGTTAGTCCCTTGAGAACTTAACGACACGAGAACGCACGTTCCGTCGTTTCTTCAAACCTTTCCGAGTCTAAACTCTGTTGCGCATGCGCGTTAAGATTTCGGTTCCTTCCTTCGTGGTATAAAACATTTCCCACACTTGGACTGGTTTCTCACGCTGTAAAATCTCTGTCCAATTCATCCAAAGACTTTTGTAAACGTTCAGGAAAGAATTTCCGAGGCCATTCGCAATCAGAAACGCATTTGAACACAGGTCCAATTCTCAGTGGTTACGGAGCTACCGGTACTTGACATCGAAAACTTGTTGGTATAGTCCATGTATTGTTTACTTTGCGGTCATATGCCACATTTTCCAAGGAAATCTGGATAAATGGGGCCTGGTGAAGGCAGTGACCAATTTCACGGATCACCACGACCAAACCATCGGTTAGCGAACTGCTCATTCAGGTACACCATCAAGCGTGGACTGAAATGTGGGGTGCTCCGTCACGCCAGAAGTGCATCAGTAATCGTGTTTTGTTTCGTTTAAGACGCATGAATGACCCTGATGCACGTAAGCTTAAACTCATCCTGAATTTCAAATATCCGCAACTCCGTAGACGTTGAGAATCGAACCTGTGTTCATATCGTATTTCTGACTGGACACTGCCAGGAATATGATTCTGAAGTATTGACAAAAAAGTCAGTCGTTACGCTTCACAAACAATTACGATATTTTTTCTCACAATCTTCTGAGTAACTTCACGTACTTTCGGAGTCAGTGTCTACTAAGCGTCGATTAAAAATAGGCGGTCATCACATTGATAGGGAAAGCCATAACCGCCAACTTTTTCCATTTCCAATCTTTGGCTTTAAAGATAAAACAAACCTAACCTTGAAGATTTCCGTCTTCTGAGTTGTTGCGCTGTGTAGTCTGGTCGATGTTAACCAACGTTTCAGAGTTCATACTGCCTCCGTCATCAGGGCGATGACGGAGGCAGTGTGACCTCTGAAACGTTGGTAAACATCGACCAGACTACACAGCGCAACAACCCAGAAGACGGAAATCTTCATACTCACCGCTGTGTAAACCTCAAGTCTTACAAACCTAACCTTATAATCAAATGTAAAAGACTACACATTTAGTCACATACATAATATATTACCACAATACCCTTACACTATGTAATTTAGAGAACATTTACCTTACACGAATTGTGTAGTTGAATTTGTCTTCGGCGTCCACTGTCGACATAATGAGCAACGTCTAATTAAAACAGATGCAGCACTTTTAATAATCAACACACCGTGAATAAAATAAACCGTGCATTTACTCCAGTTTCACGTCAGAATATCATTTGCACTACTTCTATAAAATGTCCATTAGTACCAAACTGCTTTCATTGTATACGCCACCCGTGAACGATTATAAAAACTTTCAAGAATATTAAATAATAAATAACACGCGCTCACAAATCTATGTAAAGTGAAACAAATAACAACTCAATTTATTCGGAATATAACGGCTAATCCTGGAAACTTCTGCTTCGGTATATTCATTACAGCACACACTACACCACCTGTCACTACCTGCCCGTACAGTGATCAGTTACGAATGTTGAAATATGTTCAGTCAAAAAACGTTTTAATTATTACAGATCGAAATAATTCTTCCTAGTATAATGTTGTCCAAAGAATGTGATGAGACTGCATTTTTACAAGGAAGGCAATATTACTTAAATGCTTTCTTTGTCAACTGTAAAGGAAATGTTTTGACTTACGCAGTGCAAGTGCGTTTTCTGGAAACACCCTAGATCGCCGGACCGATCAAACTGGTCATGACTGCAAAAAACAACCAACGTAAGCAGTGAGGAGAAGGGGGATACAGCGTAACGTGATGCGCACTGCAAACCTTTCCCCAGGCTTTACGTACACAACCACATTTCAGTACACCAGTTTTCCTAACATTCTAACATCTCAAGGAAAGTCAGTCCAATCTTTCATAAACCTTACTTTAAGTTACTTCATTCAACGTCGCCTTTAACTTGGGTTGTTTATGCAGCATCAATTGATGGTTATGAACGCTTTGTTAGGATATGACAGAGCGTGGTCATGGTATTTGCGCGGACAGAGTGACGGAACCACAAACGTGGAAACTTATAACATTCTTATCAAGAGACTCGAAGTTCTCAAACTAAAAGACAAAAATTACGATTCAATAAATGGTTCTGATAACTGTGATTAAGTATAACCATCCGTCTATACGTCTTCACGGCTGCAGAGCAATGTCTTCCTTCGGCCTTCTGGGATGTGCCGCGCAGAACGTTTAGAATTATTCAACGTTTCGGCAAGCATTGCAATTACCATCTTCAGGGTGAATTCACAAAGTTGGGTATTTGGATAGAGAAACCAAGAAGCTCGTATGGGGAAGAAAAGGTCTTAAATTAGGCAGGAGGGTAATATTAAGAGCTCAAGCAAATGGTTTGTGAGAACACAGGGTGAACGGAAATACTTCAGGGCAGTTTCCAATGATAGGTATCGCGGTTTCGTATCCCAGAGCAAGAGATTTATTTCATTGCATTTATTTACTTGGTATTATCATTATTCATTCTTCCATTCTTCCTTTACTCATTTGACTTTTATCCCGGTCTGCCCAGATTTGTACATTTTCTTGTTCTATCACTATTCCGCTTTCCGTCAAGTTCATACGTCAAAGTTCCTTTC